TGAGATGAATAAAACTTGAAGAACGCTGTCTCTAAACAGTTATATAGTTATTTCTCTAAATGGAAAAAAAGAAGCACTTTTATGTAAAGAAACTAAATTAGCATTATTTGGTTGCACTTGTTTTGTCCAATACTGTATATATATCAACAAAAATTATAATATAAAAACTAATAAGAAAATAAGATTTATATCTTGTTTTAATAAAAAGTTATACTAAAACAAGATTCTTATTTCTTGTCCGAAGTGTAGGATATATATTTCACGAAACAAGAAAAGAAATAAAAAGCTTAAATTAGGAAGAATATTTCCTAAATCAAGAAATTGATTGTTCAAATAATTACTTAAATTAGGAACTAATCTTCCTATTGCAAGTTTTTTCATATTTTCTTATTTAAAGAAATAAATATCCTACACTATGGAGAAGAAATTATAATCTTATTTTAAGATTTTTTTCTTTTTTGATTTAAGAATTTTTTTCTTTTATTTAGAAGTATTTCTTGTTTTAAGAAAAAAAAAAAAAAAAAAAGTTTATAAACTTCAGACAAGAAATAATATTCTCATTATAATTTTTTTTTTCTCAATTCACGGTTTACAATTTTGTTGTGTATGAGTTGAGAAAATACATATCTGTCACCATTTTTTTGCACTCCAACAATATTCTTTTTTCTGGTTATTCCAAACTTGAAAAGTAGTTTCTTACAGCTTTGTTGGAAAACAAACTAGATTAAAAATAAATAAATTCATTGTGTTAGTTTCATCATTTACAGAAGTTAACCGTACAATGAATCAACTTCAGGTTGAAAATTTTAAACCTAATATTCCATCTTTTAAAATTTACTTGTAACAAACTAGTTATACATTTATGTTTAACGCAATGTCTTTTGCGAGCCACTAGCTATTTCCTATCATTCTAGTATACGAATTATGCAGATTATTCAAGAATGTCTGAAATATAGCGCATGCGTGGTAACTCCTAATATTGTGTATCTGAATAAGTTTTTAATTGTCGATTAAAAAATTGCTGCAAAATAAGGTTTTCATGCCTTTTCTAACATATTGCGGATGTTTTCATTTCAGTACGTGACATTAAAACATTACTTGTGTTTGATTACCGTTTTCTTATTTCAATCAAAAATCTTTTAAATAATCTAATCTTCTATATAATATTGCCGAACTTAATAGTTTTAATAGTAGTAGTAGTGTCCCTTGGAGCGTATTTGACACGAAACCCTTGGCAGCCATTGCAACCGAGGTATTGGCAAGAAAGAGTTGCAGCGCTATAAGAAAACGTGAACGAACATCTAACGTATGTAAACTTTAAACTAATGTTAAAGCATATGTTAAAACATACTGAAACATTTATCACGTTTTACAGTTTGATTTTTACTTGAAAATTACATTGCGTCAACCTCTCCTTAATTTTGATCTAACATTTTTTTCCTCAAAAAAATTACTACATTATTACAAAATCTACTCTTTATGATATCCTGGTGTAGCTCGAGTGGATAAGGCGGCGTACTTTTGAACAAGTAACTAGAGGTTCGACTCCTACCAAAGGCGGCTATTTTTTTTTAATTTTTTTAATTATTTTAAATTACAAAATACTTTCGAAGTTTTATAAAGATTATATACAAACATATGTAACGTAACGATATTATGCACTCACAAAAGAAAAGATTTTAAGAATGCTAAAACTTCATAAAACATTAAAAAAAAAAAAAAAACATCACTAGGAGAAAAAATATGTTGCGTATCTATGATAATTGAGACACTTATGTTATTAATGTGCGAATGTAATTAGTCCTAATAAGCTGCGGATGGTCTGAAAAAAAAGTTGTCTGAAACTTAATAAAGAAAAAACTTAACAAGACAGCCCTGCTACTTCATAAGATGCTGCTGTGGAGGCAAAAAAAAAAAGCCTGTAGCTAGATAAAACTTTAAAACTTTCTTTTGACAATTAAAAGTTTATTTTGCTACATTAACTTTTTTACTATAAATATATGTAGCAACTGTTTTTCAAAACGCCTTAATATGCTTATGACGTAATTCAAAAAAAACCCAATTAAAAATAAAATTGTTTGGAAAAACTCTTCGTAAAACGTTTTTTGAAACGAATAACTTTTATTTAGTTTTTTTTTTCTTTTGTGCAACTTTCTTTTCAATAAATTTCTTTACCTTTCAGAATATGACCATTTTAAACAATGCTATAGAAAAAATATCAGTAAATTGATTAGTAGTATTTCAATTATATTAATTAGATTAAATTATATATATTAAATTATATATTATATATATTAAATTAAATAGATAAATAAATTGATATTCAGTAAATTTTTTTATACTTAGTGACAAAATAGACTAATTAGATAAGTCGTTAAGTAGAATGCTAAGAATATATTTATGGCGGTTATTGTTGTTAAGGGTGATTAATAGGCAAATAAATTAAAAGCTAATCAGGGCTTTGAATAAATTATAAACTAATCAGGGAAGTTTTATTGGTAAACCTAATAAATAGGAAGATAACATATAATTCAGGTAGACATTGTTTTCACTTTTTCGCCAAACTTTGATATCTTTGATATTAAAAAATACGACCTTTCCAATAATTATAGATGGTAGTTTATCAACCTTTTTTTTCGGATCCACAATCCGTTATGATTTGTATTTTATCAATGTGAACGAAAGTCTATTCAAATATCTAAATATGTAAACTTTAAGTTCTTTAATTATCAATCAGTATAATTATAAAGTAGATGACATCAAATTCTACCGATTTATTTTTACTTAATAATTTCATTGCGACAATATCTCTTTATTTTAAAGCATTAAATGTTGTTTTTTAAAGTTTAATAAGTTTTCTGTTTATTAAATAGTGTAAAAAGATGATATAGCATTCCACAGCGATTGAAGTGCTTCGCTTCGGTTCAAAACCTTTTGCTTACACAATTTTTTTTTTTAAATCCTATCCAGTTTTCTAGAAAACAAAGAAAAACAAGTTTAAATGCATATAGATGTTATACGCATTACATAAAAATAAAGATATAATATACTATAAGAAAATACTATATAAATACTATAAGAGAATTTTTAAAAACGTTTTTAAAAATTTTTAAAAACATAAAAACGCTGTTGGAAATTTGTTGCGCATATATCATGATAGAGATACTTATGTTTTAGGTAATTAGTTAAAACTGTGAGTTCAACACACATTAAAGAGATAAATTTCTTTCTTATATATATAAAAACAGGTTTTACATGCAATCTGAAATTTTTATTAAAACTAACTGGTCAAGAGTCCTAAAAAGTACGGAAGGGTATGAAAAAAAAAATTGTAATCTGAAACCTAAAAAAAAAAATTAGTTACTCGAGAAGGTGACAAACAGAAAACCCACAAAATTTCGCCTAATCCGCCAATAGAAATGCTCGAATATTAAGATATAAACAAATATTAAATGATTTTTGTATTACGAAACGTACGCCAACTCTTAAACCACTGTAAAACTACCTTGCGGTTATCTAATTAAATCCACCAAATCCGTTAATAAAAACAGCTTAATTAATAGATTCAAAACCATCTGATTTTGGTATTATGATTTGTGCGCCAACTGTACTCTAAAACCAATAAAACTCGGCCATGTGGTCTTCATATCGATTATAACAATTGCAAAGCGAGGGACGACAAGTAAGTTGTATCTACAAGTTTAATTATTGTAATCTTCATTTAAAAAATTAAACTTATTTTATAATTACCATGTTAATATGTTTGAAGTTAATATGTTTTTGACCCAAGAATAAACATTAAGATTATTTTTTAGAAATGAGCAGCCAAGATACAGAAGGTATTCTTTTAATTTTGTATAACATTAATTAAAGAGATAAAAAGAGATGATACGTCAATAATACTGAGATATTTAGCTTATTTTTTTATTAAGAAATTACATTAAGAAAATTTTGTATATCTTTAGACGACAAAGAAGTTTCTGCATTTTTTCAAAGTAAGCCATATATATATAATATATATAGTAGCAGTTACATATGTTCTAAAAGTGGCGGAGCTGTACTTGATTTACGGTGTGAATAAAACGATGATTTAATTTAGCCGTTTTTAATTAAAATCAACCAAGATATGCCGCCCTCCCCTAACCCCGTGAATCAAGTACACCCCCCTAAAATTTAACTAAAATTAAAAAATATATAAATTAATTTTTAGAACTTTAAAAGGCTGGACCCAAAACTCAGTTTTTGTTTATTCCGCTATTTTGATTGATGTTTTTGTAAAGCAGTGAACCTTAAAAACGCGTATAAACTTTATTTAAGGTGTTTAAGCTATAATTTCATAAAACGTGTTTAAGCTAAAATTGACTTTTAAGTCTTCTAACTACTAAACTTTCACGTAAAATGAAACTTTTTGTCATTTACTGAGTGTGTTAAATTATAAAACTGTGCAACAGTTTTATAATTTAAGACAAATCTTATATGTTTAATTGAAAAAGTAAATATTTTGAAAATTAATTTTGTCTATATATATATTAGATGTTCAAGAGATCAGAGCCGAAGAGCTCTTGCCAAGTAAGCTAATTTTGTATGAGAAGGATATGTTACAAAGATATATATTTCACCAATTTCAGCAATTTGTTAATTATAACTTTTTTTTAATGTTTAGCGGAAGTAATGGACAAGCTAAGTGAGGAATTTTGTTGTTGTTTTTTGTTTTTTTTGTGTGCAAATACATTTATGCTTTTTTAGTTTTTTTAAAGCTATTTAGCAACTGACTTTTGTCAGTTGTGACAGTTTGTCAGTCAGCAAGTGACTTTTGTAACTTTTAAATTTATTTTATTTAGAAAAATTAGAAGATTCTGTTGAGAATCTAAGTAAGCAATTTGTTATTGTTGTTGTAATGCTCTTTATTTTTTTTATTACATATTTATTTAACATAAAGTTATTCTATATTTGGCAAGTTAGTTTATTTTAATGTTTATAAGTTTTTCATTTTATTTAGAAAAATTAGAACATTCAATGGGTAAACAGAATTTGATTATATTACATTTGTGTATTATAGATAAAGCATTTTACTTTCAAAAAAAAAGGTGTATTCTATGGTCTTTTAGCTTTTTTGATACAATTTTTAGCATTTTTTTTATAGGGCTTATATTTCAACAACTTAGTAAGTTACTATATTGTTCTTGTGAATTGTTTCTTTACTTTTATTTTTTATTTTTTTTGTCGCTTTTTTCTTTTTTGGTTTGTTTTGTTTTGTGATTGTTATTTTTGCCTTTTGTTTTGTTCCAACTTTATTTATAGATTTCCTAAAGTTGACAAATATTCTGCATGTTAGTTTCTTTCCTAATGTTAATGAGTTTTTTTTATTTTATTTAGAAAATTAAGAAAATTCAATTGGTAAGGAAAGTACACTTATGTTTCTTTTTGTTTAATTTTAACACATATTTTTTGATGTTTGTGTGCGGTTTTATCACTCTAAAATAAACTGTTTAATTGATTAGTATATGTTAGTTTATGTAAATATATTTTTTACCTCCACTATAGCGTTATCTGCAGTACCATCAGGTAATGTGTTTTGCATACTTATGCAGTTTTATGAGTTTTATGTGTATTGAACTTAAACATTACTTTTTTCATGTTTGTAAACAATTTCATAAATGTATAACATATGTTACTTTATTCCTTTTTTTTTTTTTTTTACTTTCACAATAGCATCAATATCATCTGCAGTACCATCAGGTAATGTGTTTTGCATACTTACGCAGTTTTATGGGTTTTATGTGTATTGAAACTTAAACATTACTTTTTTCATATTTGTTATCATTTACATAAATTTTTAAAATGTTACTTTATATATTTTTTTGTGTCAGTAAGAATTTTTATCTTTAGCAATGCTGATAAAACTAAATTAAAAAAAAAAAAAAGAGTATTTTCAGCTTTCCAACCAAATATTAGAGACTTTTACAAAAGCACCATCACAAAGTAAGTGTCTAATATTTATTTAATATTACTAAATTTCGTTTCGTATTTTTTATTTTTCAAATGAATTAACAAAAAACAAATAAATGTGCGTTCAGTGTTATTAATAATGATTTTATTTCATTTTTAGATAATGCTTTTATAATCAATTTAAAAGTCTTTCAAATCGTTAATCATTTTCTAAAGGCGAAGAAAAAGAATCATCAATCTTCATACTATTTAATAAAGCTATTTTAATAAAACGCAATACAAATTGTTGTAAATTAGTATTTGAATAATTTTCACGTTGCTACCTTATTTTGCAGTTTCCTATCACTTTGTATTGAATTAACTAAATCCAATATTACAGTGCCTTATATCAAGTACTTCACATTTTCTGTTTTTGTTTTATGCAGAAAAACAGATCAAGTTAATTTATTTGACTTGCCTAGCTACTTATTTTACACGCCTAGCGACAGTGAGTGTGCATAAATCAACAGAGGATTTGGGTTTGGGCAGGTTGTCTTGAACTAAATGATTTACCTTCTTCATGTTAAGCTCTAAATATAAATATACGGAAAAGGTGCATATGTGAATTTTTTTTTTTTTTCTAGCACATAATCTATTGTTCACTAAAAAATATTAGAGTGAGAAATAAAGATAAGGTTAATGTGGAATAGAGTTTGTCCTTTTAAGTGAAAAATTTTATAATCTATCTATCTTCTATATAATAATGCCAAACTTAATAGTAGTGTTAGTAGAAAGAGTCGCAACACTTTTTTTTAGAAGAAAACGTGTATGCAAATATCTAACGTACGTAATTAAGTAATGATAAAACATACTGAAACATTTTTCAAGTTTTATACTTTGACTTTGACTTAAAAATTGCATTGCGTCAACCTCTCCTAATTTTTTGATCTACAGCAATTCCGTTAAAAACAATTTTTATATATTTTTTAAAATTTCGATATTTGATGTGTCAGCATGGCCGAGTGGTTAGCGCGCTAAGCCTCTGAACGTAATAGTCGTGGTTCAAATTTACCGCCAGCGATTTTTTTCTTTAAATTACAAAATATTTGTGAAGTTAAACAAGTTAAATGTTATACACTTTAACCGTTTTTTATTTTTAATTTTAAAAATTTTTTGGATTTCTTAAAACACCAATAAACGTGGCGAAAATTTTTTGCGTGTGTGTGGCGAAAATTTTTTGCGTGTGATTTTGATACTGTTCTCGCATAATTGGTCCTAATAAGCTACGGATAGTCTTAAAAAAAAAGGTCCTAAAACCTAATAAGGAAAAAATTTGATAAAACCGTCGTGCTACTCCACATGGTATTGCAGTGGAGGCAGGGAAAAATAAAGCAATTAAAAGGTTTTTTGTTATATTTAATTTTTTGCTATAAATATAGCCAGATTAAAAAAATTAAAAAAAATGTATTGATATTTTTTAGGCGCGGATTTGAAGCCTTGCACAGCGACTCTGATGACTGCGCACTTAACTTGTGAGCTATCAAAGTTATGCATGTAGTTAGGTGCTTCAACATTTTTTTAAAAATGTAAAATGAAAACAAAATAAATACCATAAGTAAGAGCTAAATAATAACGTTTAAAAATTACCAAATATTTTGTTATAATATTATTAGTTTTTCAACTTTTAAACCACAAAATTTATAATTTATTTTTTTGCATGACTTTTGACGCTTTAAGCGACTAACGTTTTAAAGAATTGCATTACCGTTTCCGTCTAATACAAAGATAACTATAAAAGACCGTTATTGTTCAAAACTAAGCATATAATAATAATAAATATAGCAAACTATTGAATATGACTAGGACGCGACCATAAACCATGGTCCATGGCTGGTCTAAAAGTAGGAAGTAGTTTAGTTCAGAATTTTTTTAAAACAAAATAAATAAACGGGATTTAATAAGCTATATACGCATGCGGAAAAAGTTCGTATGTTAAAGTTATTTTTTGCTCTTAAAGCAAATTTTTTTAATGAATTTTTTTCCACAGTTACTAAAAAATATTGAAGTAAATAAAGAACAAGTAAAGAAATGATTGGCGTGGAATTGATAAATATAGAAGTAGAAGAAAAGACCTGCATTTACCGATACGGACAGCTAGATTAAGAAAATAAAGCAAAAGGTTTGTGTGGAATAGACTTACAAAGACCCGTATTTTTACGGGTCAATTCAGCTAGTCTAGAATATATTCTATATTTAAATATATTCTATATTTCGATCCCAGAGAGCTTTGCTCTTGTGTATAAATGTGCAATAAAGCAATGCTATTTGGATTTTTTCTTATCAGATTATTGTTGCTTTGAACGTTTGCCAGGTGGTGTATTTAAAAAAAAACAAAAAACAAAAAAATTAATGATTCAATTACTAATTGCAAATAAAGGATAAAAGAAAAATTAAGCTTTCGAAATTATATATTTAAACAAAAAGTTTACACCTTGTAAATTTTTCTGTCGAAAAGAATAAAGATAATATGAATATAGATGCAAATAATATGCATAATCATTTTAACAAAGAAAACTCTTTTTTAGGTCTGATATATATACAGAATGCAGCATTTTTAATTTTAATACTAGAAATAGCCATGGTTTATTGTTGATTTTCTTTATGATGTCCTCTATTATATGAACATGAAAAAAATGATTTTATTGCTTTAATGAGTCTTAATTTTCTACTTTTATGACTTTCCTGGACCAGTAATTATTGACTTTCATATTTCAGTTCAAAGAGTGCAAGACTTAAAACAAAGTCTTAAGAGTTCTTAGTAAAAAAGCAAAAGCATGTTTTATATTTTGTATCAGTGTATCAATAGTGATGTAGCTTTATTTTAGAACTGTGGATTATTGGCGTTTATTAATTTTCAAGATTGTTTTCTTGTCTATAAAAAAAATTCAAGACTTGATTTTACAGAAACACTCAACTAATTTTATTGAAAAGTTTACATAAATAGAGGCCATGCAATCAAAAAGAATTGTATAAAGCACAAATTTATTTAGAACGATTCAATGAAGATATTTATTTTGCTTCAAATTAAAATAAACAGTTTAACAAAAGTACGAATTATTTGATGGAGTAATGCTTTATTTTGTTGGCACTAAAATCCTAGTTGATTTATGTTACTTTATAATTAGTAAACTTTAAATTTTATTTTTTCAAATTAAAATTTGTTATTGTTTTCGTAAGTTGCAATTTTTTTCACTTTCTATGAGTATATAAAGATTCCTTTTTGTATTCTTTATACTAGCACTCATACAAAAAAAAAAAGTAAATTTAAAAAGATCAAAAACAATTTTGAACAAATTTATCAGAATTGAAGTTTAGGCTTTCTAAACAATTATGAAATAAGTCTAAACATTTTTGTAAGTATGTAGTTATTTTATTTGGTCGCAACTTTTAAATAGAAATGTATATACTTATTATTTAAATATAATTTTAGTATATTCATCTTTAAAATATCCTTTTAACAGTCAATGTTTTGAGAGCTAGTTAGTTTTTTTCGCACATTGTCAAATTCTTTTTATTTTAGCGTTTGTACTCAGGTGCTTAATACGAAGAAGGGGTAACTAGTTTACTTTAGGAAAATCGCAGTAAGCACAGGACGTTTTTAAAAACGTTTAAAAAACTTATTAAAACGGATATTAACGTTTTTAAAACGTTTTAAAAACAATCTATGCTTACTGGGATATACCCACCCTGAGCGTATTAAATTTCATCAAATTCATTTGATTATTTTTATTTCACTTATTGCTTAAGAAAATTATTTGCTGATAAAAATAAATACTTATTAGTAAACAGGCTTTAAAATGTCAAGTTTAAACTAACTAATGCGGTAGTGGTAGAGCGCTCGCTTCATAAAGGAGTGGCTCCGAGTTCGATCCCCACCACGTCCCTGGTAGTACCGCGCTTAACTCGTTTCTCCGCGCAGCGGCCTTGTTCGTCAAGGTTCGTGTTTCGGAGTTATAGAGTTGAGAGAGGGTTATAGCCACAAAATAAGTAGCCTCCTCGTTTGTAGTGGCCTTCTCGGCCTTGAGGAGGTGAAGTAAAATTAAAAAAAAAAAAAAAAAACTAATCAAAACGAAAACTTCCATTGTAATCAGCTCTTAAAAGTTAACAAATACTAAACAAGAATTCAAAAAGTAATTGAGAATTTGTATTGAAAACTGAATAACATATAGTGTTATTAACGTTTTGATTCTCTTTTGAGAATCTAAACGTTAATAACACTATATGTTTTCTATTAGAAAAAACTTTCGATTTTAAAGATTTCTTCTAAAATCACCTAAAGTAATTAAACCTGAAAAAGTCATCACTACTCATTTACTATTGTCTTGTGTATCTTGTTTATTTCTTATTAAAATAAAAAATAAATATACTATTAATTTTGAACAGACAAATAACATTTATTCGATTTATTACTTGTGTCTTATATTTGTCGAACTAATATTGTATTGTACTTCAATTTTTAACCTTTTAGTTTTTAACTTGTAACTTTGTGACGTTAATGTAAACGGGGCTTGGCGATAAGACAGTTTATGTCTTCTTCTTGCTCCGGCCAATTTTTATACATGAATGGTTTTTTCTCATTGTAAATTTAATTATACGGCAAAGAAAATATAATAATAATAATATAATAATAATAATAATAATTAGATATTTTAAAGTTGTTTGTCGGCAATTCGATCCCAGAATCCTTATTTTTAATATATTTAATATATACGTAAAGAAAACAAAACGGTACCCTATTTCAAAAACGGGCATTAAAAAACTACAAAATTCACAGATACCGAGTTATTTTAAATTTTTTCGCTGTTTTTTCTCTGTAACTTTTTAACGATGCAAGATTACCAGATCAATTAGAGAAATAATCAAATAGAATATATTGTATAAAAATGCAATAAAGCAATGCTGGATTTTTTCTCATCCGATTATTGTTGATTTGAACGTTTGTCAGGTGGTGTATTTAAAAAAAAAAAAAATTAACTAATGATTCAATAACTAATTGCAAAAAAAAGAATAAATGAAAAATTAGGCTTTCGAAATTAAAAAAGTTTATTAGATCTATATTTAAAACCGCAATGGTACCCTATTGAAAGTACCAAAATAACAAATATGAGTTTTAGTACCACGCTAATATCAATAATTAAGCTATTAAATTGTCAACAATTTTTGACGATAGATATCACATAATACTTTATAAGTAGATTTTAAATTTCTACAAAAAAATGATGCTCTATATTAATATTTTATTTTAATACAATATTACTATAAAAAACTTTAACTTATCTCGGTTACATTTAAAATAAAAATGCATAAATACTAGCATCTTATAAAGAATAACTAATATCATGATTATTAAACTTTTTACTTAAACAAAAATATATAATCTACTATTTGTAAGTTCTATATTTTTTATGATTTCACAGACCTCCGTTGATTATAACTTTCAATTTGATATTTGCTAAAGAAAGTTAAAGTAAGTACTACTAGTACTAACTTTAAACGGAGGTCTGTGAAAATAAAATCTAATTATGTTTTTGTTGAAAAAAAACCATTTTCACAAAAAACATCTGATGCAAACAGCAAAATAAATGAAATAGCATTAGCTGGTATTTTGAATGCTATTCTTTTACTAACTTGTACTGATAATCCTTCTTGTTCTTATATACTGTCAGTTTAAACTACTTTGTTGATGTTGGAAAAGTAAATTCATGCTAACCAAATTAAAATATGTTGACAAGGGATATGACATGTGAAAAATAACGTAACAAAAGAATACTATTTTATATAAAATTATTTTAAATAATTAACATATGTTGTTTTTTTTCTTTATAAACAGGCCCATTAAATACTTAGTTGGATTGATTATAAAAAATATAAAATAACGAGACGAGATCCATAACTTTGCAACGGCTATTGATACGCGTACTTGTACTTGTGTAAAAATTTCGTTAAGAAAATTTCTGCTGCATGAAATTTTATTCAGTAACAAACTACTGAGTCAAATAATGCTTAAATCGTTTTGTAATTATAAACAATCAATATTTTGAATGGCGCATAAGATGCACTGCTATATCATCGTTGCATATCAAAACTGCCCTGTCTAATTTTTCCATCTTGTAGATATCGACAGTTTTTTTTTAAATTAGGATTATAACTCCTCAAGGTATAATTGTTTCAAAAATGTTATTAGTTTCTAGTGCACAATTTTTTGTGTGAAAATTTCACTTAGGTGTTTCCATCTTAATTTTTGAATTTTTTAAAATTTAGATAATAAAAGTTACAAAAATAAAATGTATACTAACAAAAATTATTTATTGTATAAAATATTTCAAATTAGGCTGATATAAGAAAAAAAAATTAAAAAAGGCATTGCTTTTTATAAAAGAAATGGATTTTATTCCAAAAATTAAACATTCATTAATTTATAATTAATTTTTCTCAAGAAAAAACAATCTTTTTAAGGTACCTAATTCTAGAAGTGTATTGCTCAAAGTTGAGGTAAAAGAACATTAAGTTTATCACTGTGAAATTTTGCTGATTTTTTGTTTGATAATTTTAAACATTTTTATATTCTATAAATTTAATTTTTTACTTTGAAATTGCATCCAATGTAAAAGTATTGGCAAGGAATAACTGTATTAGCGCAACTATCAGTGATATGGGTTGACATCTATGAATTGATGTAAAAAATAGTTTATTTACCAGATGTAACAAAATATTTTTTTTTAACTAAAACTTTTTCTTCTTTTAATATTTAAACCTCTTTACGCAGAATTTTCATGCCACATTGATTTACACAATAAAGTGGTAGAGATTCGCAAGTTTCCAAGTGATTCTAAATGTAGTTTTACAAAGCAACTATTATATTTAATAAAAAACAAAACATTTTTTTAAAATATTTTTGACTTGATTATTATTAACTTTTATTAACACGCTTATCAATAATTATCATCATTATCATCATCTATAAAATCATTACCATCTTCAACATCACATATAATAATATTTATCATAGCCATGATTAAATGCTAGCAGATACAAATAGCAATATTAAATAATTTTAATTTCTGGTTTCATTTTTAAGAACATAATTCCACAATAAGGATTTTTAGAAACAAACTATTTTAGAATTAAAAATATTTTTTTAATTATGCATTGATGCAAATACATTTACTCTTAATCTTAAAGTTTGCATCAGATGACTTTTGCCTTATTATCAAAGCACATGTTTAGATAAAATAGGACTATATAATGGTCGCATAAAACTTTATTCAAACCAGTAAAATGTGGTTTAATTATTAATATTTTTAATTTTTACAATAAAAAAATAACAAAACAAAAACAAAAAAAATGCCCCCTTATTAGTTACTAATACCGTTCTGAAAAAAGTTGCAACTAAAAAAAAAAAACTACTCACTTTATGAAATTTCAAAAAGAAAAACTAAAACTAAATTTCCCTCAAAGCTATAACTTTGCTTTCTACTAACTTTTTTTACTATTATATTATTAAAATACTAGTTGTCAATCTTACTAAGGGGTCGTCCATAAAGTACGTAGGCCAAAAATTTTGAAATTTGACCCCCTTCCTTCCCCCTGTTGCCATGCGTACTTCTAAGTCTTTCGCCCCTTAAAAAGTACGTACGTTTTTGAGATCCCCTTTCCTTACATTTTTTTTTTTATTGAAAAAATTTATAAAAAAAAAAAAAAAATGCGGAGGAGGTACCTTAGATACTTTATACGACCCAAAAGCTCTTTGTTTGCGGCACAAAATCCCAATTTAAATAACGTTTTCAAATATATATGCAAATATTAATTTTAATAAAGTTAAATTATAAAATATTAATGAGTTTGCTTGGTTAAGCGGTTAATGATGAGGACTGCGCCGGTGTTCGATCTCCGATCGAGCCATAATGTACATTCTTCTGTTTTAAGATGGTAGACCACTATTAAAAATCAAAAAAAATCCTTTTTTCAAATATAATAATTTTAAATAATATAACTTTTTTAAAATACGAACTTAAAGTTAGTTTAATGAAGAAAATTAGCTAACAACATTAAAAATCATTTTTTTATAAAGCGGTATAAGTAAACACTTGTATTTTTCCATAGCAACGCTTTGTTTATTTCGTTGCTATGCAACTGAAAAGGAAATTATACCAAAAATATAGTATACATTTTTAATTTAAAATACCAGATGAAGTGATTGAAACTCTATAACTACTTTTTGTTTATTTAATAATATTTTTGGTGCATATGGCTACATGGGTTTTAATAAAATTTCCAACTATAGTTGCTGTTTTCTGTATCACTCTACATTTATCCTATCACTTTGTTAAATAATATTAGTAATTAAAAGAAATTGGTAAAAAAAAAAAAGAAATAAAACAAGACATAGTAAAAAACTTATACTCTTTAAAGAAAACCAAAATCAATTAACAAACAATGCAGTTGAAGAAAATGTATATAAATTGGCATGAACTAAAATTTGAATTTAGCATACAAAAAACAAAAAAATTTCATGTGTACATTCAGTTACAGCAATAAATAATCTGTAAAAATTATAAATAATGGTTTTGTAAATAAAAGCAATAGTTCTGCTAATTACGATCAGTTCAATGTTTCAAATAATTACATATTTATGAACACTGACATACGAGTTAAAATAGTTGCCATTGTTTGCTATCAATAATTTTCTACAATGTAACTTTTATATTATAACTTTGTATGATGCTCAAAACAATATTGCTTACAAAAATGTCAGAAGTTTTATTCTACCATAACTATAAACAAACCAGCAGCAATGAATTTTTGAGATTTTTTTTTTGTACAATATTAGTTTTTTGAGAAATAATGGGTAAAGAATACCATAGTATAGAAAAGTTTAGTGGTTTTATGAACATTTTTTATCAAGTACAGAAATTTTTTTACTTGTTAAACAAAGAAAGTATAACAATTACATAGCTAAAGCTAGCATGAATGCTGCAGCAAAGAAGTTCTGAAAATAAGTTATATTCCAAAAATAAAACTATAATGATCACACGGTAGTTAATGAGATTTCTCTTATGGTGCATAATTAACTGATTTATTGTTAAATAAACCAGAATTAAACCAGATTTTGAAAAACATACCAGAACAAGCAAAAAAAGACCAAAAACTTTAAAATAAACCAGATATAAGCCAGATTTTCTAAAATAAACCAAAACAAAAATTCCAAGTCAAACGATAAAAAAACAAACCAGATTTTAGAAACCTGGCTTAAAAAAACACCAGATGGCAACCCTGGTTTTAAACTCAAATTTAAATGTCACATGTTTTTATCAGTGGTTTCACATTCCTAACGGAAAGTTATTATGATTTAATACAACGTTTCCATAACGGTGAAACATTAATATTTTAACTTGTATTTATGGTAAATAGTAATAGTTAATTTCACGTAATAAAAAACATTTTTGATATGTGTAATTCTTTTTGTTTTAGAAGGTTTTAAAAACGCAACAGAAACCAAGTGTAATTATTTTCTGAGTTGTGCCGGCTGGGTTATAAAGACCCTTATTTTTACGGTTCCGATCTAAGCTAGTATAATATAATAGTGTTATATTATGGAATCTTTAGATTCGACCATATAAATATAAATAATCGTAAATCTCAACTATTTGAAAATCAGCTTTCGAATTATTATGTGTGTGTGTGTGTGTGTGTGTGTGTGTGTGTGTGTGTGTGTGTGTGTGTGTGTGTGTGATATTAGCATAATTGTAAAATGCTTAACTTATACTATTACAAATATAAAAGTGTAAATTATAAAATTTTAGAGTCCCTGAAATGAAAAAAGGTAGGGAGATGTTTTGTCATAAGTTCTTACTGTTCCGTTAAAGCAAATAAATGTTATTGTCAAAATATATTTAAATGTCAAAGTTCGCGATTCCAGATACTAGCACTACGACGTTCTTTTCTAAATCATTGTTTTACATTTATAACATATGTTACAAAGTAATGTACATTTTTAACATATGTTAACATTTGATGTATATTTATAACATGTTTCCAATTAATTGACATTTGTATCCTGATAATAAATTTGACCCTTTGGCTCAAATTTATAAATTGAAGAGCTTAGTACGAAAAGTACTTAAGTCACAAAAAAAAAATGTTTTGAGAAAATCTTCTTTGATCATAGAAATAACGCTTCATTAAGTGACTTAAGTACTCTTAGCATTAAAATACTTAAATTGATTTAAATTTGAAGTAAGAATTTAAATTGATTTAAGGTACTTCTATACAATTACACAACTTTTTTCTTAAAAATTGATATATTAAGTGATTTATTACATTAATTACAAATATAGGTCAAAAAATGACAAAATTTAATTTTATTTTATGCATATAAAAAGTGGGTTTTGGTCCCAAAAAGGGGCTAAAACTGTTTACTCAATTATTTAACATAGGGTGACTTGCACAGTTGTTTTATAACAATGTAAACTACAATCTGTACAACTTTCACATTCCAACTATAAAAACTTGCAAAAATATAGCCATTTTCAAAAGAATAGGTGATTTTAACAATTTACTCGCTTATTCAAAATTTCGTAAATACAAATATGTAAGCGAGTTCATAAATACAAAGAGTAAGCGAGTCTCTTCAATAAGGGTCATTTTGTTGCTATATAAGTAAGCAATATTTGTGCAAAATTTCCAGAAGTTTCACATAGTATTAGTGAAAATATTATGTAAACGGTAAAACCAAAACTACAAAAAGTATGTACTGAGAAAAAACAGTTTTAAAAATCAGTTAATATTTATTGACATAAAACAAAACAGAGTTAACACAAAAGGATCCTGAATTATAAGATTGGTACCCTTCAATATCTTTGTTTTTGTCTATATGCACTTTTCTTAAGCTTCTTCTTACTTTTCTTTGTTTTTTTGAAATATTAGATGATTGTTTATGATGAATTATAACTCTATAATTGTCACTTTTTAAACCATTTTGTTCAAAAAACTTCCACGTTGAATATTTAAACAATCAAAAACGTTTCTAATACCATTAATGCCATCACTGAAACTTATGATGGCAGAACACACACCAATTGTAGGAACTTTCCTGCTACAATAAGTAGATTTTGGACAGCGTGCCCAAATAATTTCATTTAAACACTCATTTACATTTTGCGTTTCGCCATGAAAGCATTTTTCTAGCAATGAATCTTGACTTAATTCCTAAAAAATAGGTTTCTGTTCATCTCTTATGGCTAAAGACAAAGACAATTTTGACTTGTATATTTTACTCCTAGTGAGATTATCTGATTGCCATTAACAACTTTTGGACAAAACATGTGCCGCTGCTCTTCTTGTACATTTTCAGAACAATGAAATAAAACAGCACCATTTGCTTTTTTTATTGGATAAATCATAGTATTTTGACGAATAGCCATTCCAAAATAGTTTTGAAGTAAATTTATGGCTTTTTTAGTTGAGCATCCTTTTCCAAATATTTTTTTTCCATCTGATAATAATTGCACTTTGTATTTTTGTTTCAGTGTGCGTAACCGTGAGCCAAGTCTTTTTTGAACATGGCCCACACACTCTAATTTATTAATTATGAATGCATCTCTATATGGCTTTGATTCGACTACCCTTTTAAATGAACTAGAATCACCATCACCAATATAATTGTTATACCTTAAGTTATATTTTGACTCAGAACGGTTGAACATATGAACTGGACCTTCAAATTCCATGGAACCTGCAGGTTTAGTATGATTTATATCACAATCGTGATCAGAAAAACCAAGTGTTATAAGCTTCTGTCCCACGATTTTTCTCCCATATTTCACATGC